AGTCTGACAGTCTCAATGACACCTTCATAAACTAATTGCCTTAATTTGATGGCTTTTATAGAAAAATGAGTTTATAATTAATAGGTCTTGCAAAGTTGGAGATAATCCTACAGAAATGATTCTGTATTTTCTAGTAGACTAGATATAAATTATGTGTGCAAGAGAGATGTCTGTGTATACTACATACATCTCAGATGTGTACTTAGTAGCCACATGATGCTAGACCTATCAGAGCCTGACTTGTAAGGGGAAATCATCAAATATATTGAAAAGAAAAAAAAAGAAATAAAAAAGCAGTGTTCTACTGCCATTTAGCCCTCAAGGAATGAAAAGACTGATTGGATGATCTGCTTATTGTAAAGCTCTTCATGAATAATGGAAAATGCATGCCACCAGTTTTCACAGACTTTACCTAAAAACCTTTGAAAAGAAAAAAGACAGTATTCAGAAAGCATATTTAGATAAACCCAAGCATATTCCAATAGAGAAGACCTACATCCCTGCCACTGCACAGAAAACACACTGATGTTTCTGTGCCACTCAACTCACTTGCTGTACGAAGTTGGCAGCATCAGCCTTAGGACCCTGGAAGGTATCACAGGGGTGAGCCAGACAAACCCCACAGAAAATAAAGTACGTACTAATAAGTTTCTCTACATAGATTTTAAATGAATTACTCTTGAGACTTTTCTTTGTCTAGCAGTTAAGATGCATTCCATGTGAAATAATATTAGCTTTTACTTGTATTTGAGCTAGATTATTAAGACTATATAGTAATAAGGTTCCCCTTTGACATTAACAAGTTTTTGAGTGCAAAAAGATATGCCATAACTGGGAAGTGCAACAAGCTTGAACTGTGTATCACAGAAATTATAACTGATTTTGCCTTGCATTAGTTTTGAGCTTTTACAGTACAAAATAATACAGTATATATAGTGAAGTAATAAGGTTTTCATTAAACCAAGTTATTTGTAAAAAGATGGAAAAATAAAAGGTCTAAGCAGATGGCAAAACATTTAATCTTTAATAAAGAAAACTTATTGTTGTTTAGCTTCTAATGAACAGCAGCATCCTCTACTCTTGCAGCCTGTCAGCACCACACAGCTGTAGCTCCATCTATAGGAACCACTTAGTTACATATCTACTCTCCTCAGTACTCTGTTTCTGTGTTTCACTACCTCAAAAATATAAAGTTTTAAAATAAAATATATTTTATTTTGTATTTTTATATAAAATATATTTCTATATAAAATATAAAATTATCATTTTTTCCAGAACAACATTTTATGTTATCCCATTTACCCTTATCTGCTGTTAAACCAAAGTGGCACAAACCAGTAACTACAGAGAGTGACTGGCAAAACTCCTGCTTGCTTAGGACAAGTTGCCAAAGTGCTTCAGAGATGGGATGAGAAAGGAGAAAGAGAGTTCCTTTGAAGCAATGGCTGCACACACATTCACTGTTCTGCAACCTGTTCTGTTTTCATTTTGTGATATGTCCTTATTTCTTAAATTTACTGGTTACTTATTTTGGAAAAGTAGCTTGCACTGAGAAAGTCTGTTCATAGTTTTAAAAGTTTATTAATAGGCTAATTCTCTCTTTCCCAAAAAAAAACAACAACAAAAAAACCAACCCTGTGTATTTTCTTTATTGGCATATGTTATTTCCTAATGTATAGTATTAATTATTGTTGACTGTCCCTATCCAGCCATCCCCTTTTCTTTCCTGCCTTCTAGCGACCAACTAGGCATGCTTCTAAATAAATAAAGCATTCTTCAAAAATAATGTCCCAGTAAGGGGCAGGTCATGCCACTAAAATAAATGTGCTGTATAGCTAGAGGCTACTACACAAGTGAGATACACAGAATGGCCATTATACCACCATGAGTCTCTTGAATGGCACTGATAGCAGGCTCAAGACACTCTTCCTTTACAAAAACCCCCACTGCACCCACTGGTAAATATATTTCAGCAGTGGTGTTCTAACTCTACTGCCTTTTCCTGTTTATCTCACAAAAGAAACAAACATTGAAATATGATTTAAAAGTAGATTTATTTTACATGATTTATAGAGTCTCGTTATTGAACTCTATAGAAGTCTGAAATGCTAAGTCTTTGACTCACTGAATTCAAGGCTAATTGAATCCTGCTCTTAGAGTACATTTAAAAATAATTTTCCATTCAGAGTGCCCTGCTGTAGTTCTACATTTTAGCTGTCACGAAACTGTACTGGAAAGGGATGTCAGCCTATAGGTAATTTAGTGTAATGGTATGAAAAGAAAGGGGAGTTCCTCTATTTAGATCTAAAATAGCAATACATTTTATAATTGGGGCTTTTTCTAACTCTCATTGTTTTTCAGTGGCATTTCAGAATGGTTTTTTGCCAACAAAACATAAGTAGAGTTCATACTGAACTAGTAAAAATGAGTTCTAGTTGTAAACTTCTTTCGAGGGCCTTGGTAACAGGAAGCATTTGCATGGACACAGGTATTTATGCTTCCACAGACACACAACCTCTTGGTCTGCTTTGAAGCAGAAGCACTGGTACTAAGGAGCATGATTTAGTGGGCAATATTGGTAGCAGGTGGACAGTTGGACTAGATGATCTGAGAGGTCTTTTCCAACCTTAATGATTCTATGAATTTGAACTTAATGCATTTGCTACTTCTGCCGTAGGCCTGAAGAAGCATCTATGAACTCAAAAGCCTGTATATTTTTTCCAGCAGTATTAGTAAGTCTGTATGTCTTCTCTCTGCAGATCTTGTTTTCTTACACTTTGTACATCATACTATCATCACGGGTAAAATGAAGAGCGTTTCTCAGAAGTATGCCTTGTGATTTCTGGCCTGCTCACAAACTGCCTGCTTCTTCCAGACGGGATTATGTGACAAATAAATACTTAAGATCTTAAGAGGTACTCTGCCATGAGTCTCCCCAGCAGAAGACAGGTTCAGGGAGACCTGACAGTGCCTATTCCATGCCTGTACCTCATTAGGGGCTGCCTGGGGCCCACTGGGTCTGACCCATACCACCTCTCCAAACCCCACGACCTGAAGAGGAAAGGCAATGCGATGCTTCAGGGAGTAACGGGGATTCTGGCTCTCAGTATGTAGGTGCTCTTTTGTTATTTATTCTGTATTTCCTCAGCATTTTCGGCCCTGTTTGCCTAGGTGGTGTTGAAGGACACAAACCACAGTGCTGCAGCGGAGCTGCTGGGAAGCTCTGAGATGGCTGCAGACTCACACACACCATATCTGTGACAGTTTGTGCCAGAGCATTATGGCTGCACACAAAGCAGCAGATGAATGATGTGTGTGACAAGCTCAGGAGGAACAGTGGCCACGGCCTGACATTTTCATGCCTGCTGAGCACAGCTAGCAAGGGGAGGAGAGCCATGGGATGACACGAGGCTGTTTGTCACAGTGTGTGCTTGCTGTTGCTGTGCTGGCTGCATCCTTTGGTCACAGTTCTGCTGTTGGCTGCGTGCCTATTTTTGGGCTAAACTACACAGCCGGGGGCACTGGACCTTGGCCTGTTCCTGCAGCACAGCTGTGGCCTGGGCAGCTGGTACTCTCCCCGCAAAAAATCATGGGTGCAATTAGGGTGAGACATTAGCAAGGACAGGCAGTTTGGGCTTAACTACCTTATTGCAGAGAGGAGTAGTGTTTAACAGCATGGAAGTGACTAAATGGCACAAATTAGCAGCTAGATCCCTTTCCTGGCTCTCAGGCCATTTAGTTTACTGCTGTAACAATAGCCTGCAAGTTCAATGAGTTTGGAGGTACTTATCCTTCCTGCCTGTGGAACAGGAAGCTCCTGGCCTCTGTCAACTACCTTTTCCAAAGTGTTTTTGAAAGATTATAGCATGGGTGGAAAAATACATTTCAAAATTACCTAATTAATCCCCTTCTAGTTAGTCCCATCTAAGCTCAGACTTCCCCATCAGGCTCGTTAGGCTTAAAAGAAAAAAAAAAAAAAAAGATACTCTATTCTTCTTCAGATCCTTGAACTGGCAGTCATAGAATCGCAGTGTCATATAATAGCTTGGGTTGGAAATGACCTCGGAACTCATGCAGCTCTACCCTGGTCAGGGCCCAGGGCCCCTCCCGGCCCAGTCCTGATCATCTCCAGAGATGGGGCACGCACAGCTCTCCGGGCAGCAGTGCCAGGACCTCACCCCCCCTTTTGCCAGGATAGAGCAAACTGTTTAACTTATATCATTCCCATTCCATAAGTGTGCAAACACTTATTTTTGAATAATGTGTTTTGTTATGTAAATAAATAATTCAGGATTTATTTTTTAATTGCATCAGGAAGTTATTAGCACCACACTGCACTCTTAACATTTTTTTGGAAAAAAAAGTACTTTATTAGCACATCCTAATCGACATTTCATTAAGTACCACGGGAACACTTCTATAGCTGTGGAGCAAATCATCAGCCCTTCGTGAAGATTTTCCCCTAATAAAGATCAGGCAGCACGCATCTGTTGTCTGTTGCGATTCCTGCCAACCTGTGAAAGAACGCTGGAAAAATCGTTTTGTGTTAACAGGAATGCACCGTCAGGCCGCGTTGGCAGCGGAAAGAGCCTCTGCGAGGCAAAACGAGAGCCAGCACTACGGCCGGAAGAGTTTCTTGCGCGGAAGCAGCACGAAAAGGGACAGCGAAAAACCCACCGCCGCCGGCGCGCGCCCCGAGCGCTACGCGCAAGCCTCGCCCCGCAGAGCAGGCCCGGCCCCACGGCTTCGCTCCGCCCCGCCCGCGGCAGCCGGCCGGCCCCACGTGGCGCATGCGCGCCGGCCCCCCCCCCTTCCCGGCTGCAGCGAGGCCGCCGCTGGCTGCGGTTGCGCGGCCGTTCCGCTCGGATCCCTCCGCCGCGATGCGCCGGGCACGGCGCCCTGCCCAGCGGCGCGCGTCCGGGGCCGCCGCCTCGCGGGGCCGCGGCCTGTGAGCGGGGCAGCGAAGGCCGCTCGGCCGCCTCCGGGGGGCCCGGCCCGGCATGGCGGCGCGGCGGTGCGCGGGCGGCGCGGCCGCTTTAGCCGAGGCGCCGGGCTGCGGCGCGGCGGTGGAGCCGGCCCGGGAGCTGTTCGAGGCCTGCAGGAACGGGGACGTGGAGCGGGTCAAGCGGCTGGTGCGGCCCGAGAACGTGAACAGCCGCGACACGGCGGGCAGGAAGTCCAGCCCGCTGCACTTCGCCGCAGGTACGGCCTACGGCCGCGGCGCCGGGGAAGGGCCGAGGGTGGCCGGGCCGCGCGTCGCCGCTCCCCGGGGCGCGGAGCCCGTTCGGGCCGGGCGGCGGGGCGGCTCTCGGCCCGGATGTCTGCCGCAGCCCTGCTCTGGGGACGCCGCCCCGCCCCCGCGTCCGGCTGCTGGGCTCGGACGGGCCCGGCGGCCTCCCGCGTTCCGCGGGTAAACGGCCCGGCCGGCCGCGGGGCGCTGGCGCCGAGTGCCGCCTGTGCTGCGGTGTGGGCTTGGCAGCGCCCAGCGTCCCCGCAGTGCTCCCGGCAGCCCGGCAGCCCTGCTCCGCAGCCTTTCGCCCACGGGGGGTGCCGGACGGACGGCACGGGTCCGAAGTTTTTTTGCGTTCGTGTCGTTAACAAATAGACTTTGTTAATCTGGCGCTTAGGCAAATAGCTGACATCACAGAACAACTGCTGTCTCTTCTGGCTGGCCGGAAGGCTGTGTGCTACCTTTTCAGACAAAGGCACGATTGTGGCTGTTGTTTTCGTGGTGTTTCTCCGGTTGGATCGCAGCCTTAGCGGCAGGACCGTGGGACAGGCGGGGTGCGAGGGGCAGCAGCTTTTAGCTGTGTGCATAACTAACAAACAGTGTTGTTTCCTCGGTGAATTATTTTGGAAAAGGTTTCTAATTAAGGTATCATTTTCTTACGTTCAGTAAATTTAATGGATTTGAGTTCCTGAGAGCTGCTTTTTTAGGACAGCTGTGATTCGCAGATTTGGGAAGCTCAGTCAGCAGGGGAGCCCAGGGGACAACATAAAGCATCCTGTCAGAGGAAGAGAGTTTTGCAGCTATTTTTTCATAAACCCCAGCCCTACCTGCTTGCTCATAAACCATGAACTTCTAAATGGGACTGTCTAGCAGCATTTTGTAGAAGAGGGTTGTTAGGTTAGAGTTTGGGGTTGTTTTTTTGTTGCTTGTTTTTGTTTTGTGCCCGAGGTGTTCCCCATAGGCAGTGACCTAGTTCGCCTCTCTGAACAGGACAGATCTGTCTTGGCTTTAAAAACCAGGACTTCTAACTTACTGAATGCTTTTTTTCCATTAAATAGGCCTCTAAAATAAGGCAAAAGTGTGTGTAAGTGCTTTTGTCCATGCTTCTGTCCCCTTCAAGCTTGATAGAGAGAATTTAACTGCCTTTCTCACAGGGCTCTATCATGTGCAAAAAGTTTCTGGCTAAGGCAGGATGTAAAATGCTCGTGTAATGTCTTGCTGTAATGCGCTTCCGCTGCTTCGGATGGGCTGACAGCAAAAAGGGCTGTACCTGCATAGGCTCAGCTTGGAAGTTGGTCATAAGCAACTCCTTGATTTTGGGGTTAAGAATGTTTTTGTTTGTTTTGCTTTTGCCATGTTATTCACAGTTTGAGTAATACCAGCTTCTTTTGTCTCTGTTGCCTGAAGGAATTACATTCCAGGAAGCAAAAGCAAAAGCCTGTTGTATTCTTGCTTTGTTTAGCCTAGGTACGTGTTGTTAGAAAAAATGTTACAAAACTTCTCTGACTAGTTTCATTCACTTGCAAGGCTTTGTTTTGTGGAAGAGGTGGCTGAAACGTGAAGATAGAAAAAAGGCAACACAAAAACTCTTTTAGGGATATTCTGGGTCCTGAATTTGGTTGTTTTTTGTTTTTTTTTTTTTCCCTTTAACTATCATTGTAATGGGAAAAAACACAAATACAAAAGCTTTTTTTTTTTTTTCCTGTGTCCTAAGTAGCTCTGCTGCTTTGCAGTAAGAAACGAGAGCCTGGCTGCTTCCTCTGCGCACATACACCCATAGGAAATGATTCTGTATGTGGTGCCTTCTGGTATGAATGCTCCCACAAGACTGGTAGGAAGGCTCCCACTTCATGCTGAAGCCAAGTTCCAGAAACTGGTCTGATGCAGATGATCCTCCATCTCCACTCCACCTTAACTGTGGGTGGTTTGGGGGTGTTGCTATTCCCCCAGTAAGGGGATATTTCCCAGCTGGGCTGGCTTTGCCCTGAGAGAAGCTATAGGTATGAATTGTGTTTGAGTGAACTTACATACTGACTGGAGGGCTACAGAGTGAATTCTCTACAAGTATAGTGAGGCTTACCACAGTCATTATGAATTGATGCTCATGTTGGTTCTCTGTGTTCAGAGCTGTGTCCACAAAGCTTTGATGGACAGGTATATCTTCTATGCAAGAGTGAGTGATGTTTATCCATCAGATGCGTAACTGAGGCAGGAAGTTGGATCAGAGGCTTTTCTAACCCAACTAGTAAAGTATTTTCTGGAAAACATTCTATGATACCAAAAGCGGGTACCAAACAGTCTGTTGTCAAATAGCAGCAGTTTTGATATGTTTGCAGGATTGAGGCACTTGTGAAAAGTCTCATGTGAATAGATCCTGTAAGAATTTGGCAAACTGTGGTTATGCCTTCACCCTAGAAACATAACTTCTGGAAGTTTTGAAGATGCAAGAAAAATTCAGTGGAAGAATGAGAAATATGCTGCATATGACTTAATATGTAGACAGTGTAGCTCTTCAAGTGTATCTTCTACAGGAGCTGATTTTTGACATATAGTTCTATAGAGATTGCTCTCACAAAGGTGCTAGCAAACTGAAGTTTGAATAAATGTATTTGTCCAGGCAGGTATTGAGTATGTGCAGGGAAGGACCATCCATCTTCTCTCTGGGCAGCCTGTTGCAGTGCTTTGTCACCCTCACGGAAAGGAAGTTTTTCTCATGTTCGTGCAGAACTTCCTGTGTTCCAGTTTGTGCCTGTTGCCCCTTGTTGCCCCTTGTTACTGGGCACTGCTGGGAAGAGCCCAGCCCCCATCCACTCAACTCCTGCCCTTTAGATAATTATAAGTGTTGATAAGATCTCCTCTGAGTCTTCTCTTGTCCAGGATGAAGAGCCTTAGGTGTCTCTGCTTTCCTCGTGGGGCTCCAGGCTTCTGTTTACTGTCTGTCTGGGAGAAGGAGTCACTGAAGTCAGGTTTAGTGAAGAACGCAGTATGAGAAACTTCAGCTGTGATGAAACTAAAACTGAAGAGTTCTGTTGTAAATAAAATGCTGGCACATCTCATGCTTCTGTGGTTCTGTCACTGGAACTCTGTGCAGTGGTCAGGAATAAACACCATTTTAGCTTCTGATTGTCTTGACTCCTGCCTGCCTGCTGAGGCCAGGCAGGTTGGGTTGTAACAAAGATTAAACCCACTGGCTCCAAGTGCGCTGCAGTTTGCAGTCACACAATGACTCCCATGAGGAGGCTTCATCCCACACAGTTCTCAATTTCCCCTGCAACTCTGGTGTTTAAAGGAAGGAAGGCCAAATCCTGTGCATAAGGGGTCATTACCCAGCAGGTACTTGGTACACGTACACCAACATATGGCTCTTATCTTTCCTAATAACTCTGCAACTCAGATGGGTCTTCATGAAGCTTTGAGGGAATTTTGTAGGCTGTGTCCCTTCGTGCATCTCTGTGTAGGCACAGGAGCAGCAGTCCTGAGTTGTTGTGTCCTCTTAACAAAGGTCCTAGAGAAAGCATGGACACAGTTGGCAGTAGTTTGAGACGCTGGTGTATGTGCCATTATATAAATGTGCAAGATACAGCTGAAATTAAACAGTAGTAGCTATAGAATTGGCTTTAAAGAATCCATTAGTTATGATGCATTGCTAGCCACAGATGGGCAGAGGTTTTTGTTGTCTACTAACATGAATGACATGAGTGTGAAATTGCCCCTGAAGATATAATAGCATTTCTGTGCTTCAGATCAGGTTTTTGTAGTCGTGTAATGTAGACTTTCTGGATATCTTTAAATTATGGTTGTGCATGCTTATCATAAATGCTCTCAGATAAATGTTTTACATTCCTAAGGATTTTCTTAAGAGAGAATTTCAAAGATGAAAACAGTGTGCTCATTATGCTAATAACCCTCAGAGAGCAGTTAGCCATACTGCTTGTTTTAACCTGTGAGTAACACTGCATGTTTTTTCAAACAAGCAATGTGAAATAATTTTCGAACTATGGTATATGATTTGTTTATTTTTACTTTGTATAACTTGTGCATGCACTAGTTATAGTCGCTCACCACTTCTGCTCCCTGAGCTTATCAACTGGTTCTTCTGCAGGTGGGCTGTGGGGTGACAGAGTATCATACAGAATAGTGTTAGCTTTAATGGCCACACAAAGTGACTGAAAAGGAAGATTTGTTGTCAGTAGTCTGTCCTTTTGTTATGCTTTCAAGAAGCAGTTGATTCGTGGGAGCCCTGCCAAGATATTCATTGTTTTAGTAATCTTGAGTATTACTTTTCTACTGATTTTAATAAAATAATTTGGGGTGTTTTTGAAAATAACCTTCCTTTAGTAAGAAACACCAACTGAGGTCTTTATTTGGAGTGGTTGCTGTCATTTAAATACGTTGTTTCAGCATGGGTGTGAGAGACAAGGATTTGTCTTCCCCTCCACCTTTCTTTCATCCCCAGCACATGAGACAAAGCTGTTTCTCTTCCAGGTTTTGGTCGGAAGGATGTAGTGGAATACTTACTGCAGAGTGGTGCCAATGTCCACGCACGAGATGATGGAGGCCTTATCCCACTTCACAATGCTTGCTCTTTTGGTCACGCCGAAGTTGTCAATCTCCTCCTGCGGCACGGTGCAGATCCTAATGCTCGGGACAATTGGAATTACACTCCCCTTCATGAAGCAGCCATTAAGGGCAAAACAGATGTCTGCATTGGTAATTTTCTTGCACTTCTACTGTGACATGTTTTCTTTCACTGTAAAAAATACAATACAGTGTATTGTATTGTAAAATGTAAAAGATAACCTTTTAAAGACCATTTTTACTTCATGAAACCATGTCTGTAAGAGTTAAAAATCTCTGATAAACTTAAATTCCTGCCAGTTTTTTGAGGAAAAAAAAGTTACTATAATTTTTAGATCTTTGTTAATTGCCCAAATATAATGGTTGACATTGAGGGACAAGCACCTCAGAGTGATCTGATAGATGTAGTAGATGTACTTTTCTGCTTCAGCCTAGCCTCTTATTTTGCTTTCTGCTGTTAGTCATAGTGCACTAAGAATAACAAAGCTTTTAAATAATGAGTTAGTTCTGTCTCTTTTCATAGCAGTCATGTTAAATGAGCTGAGAATATAAAGAAAACTTTTAACAAGTTGAGCGCATGAATATAGTAGTTTGACTACACAATTCTTAGGAGAGAGGAAGAGGTAAAAGGAGAGGTTGAGAAATTAGTGTTTTGACTGTGTGGCTTCCTCCAGTTTACTTTATTCAGGAGCAGATCTGGAGAGCAGGATATGTAACATTTTGGTCCCAGTATCAGTGCAAGGTCTGTGAAGATGCATGGCTTGTTACCACTGTGTGCTATTTGGGGAATAGTCAACTGTGGTTTTGAGGCAGTGTGCTCTGGACCTGTCGAGAAGGAGCTGCTGGTTTTAGGGCGTATGTCAGTCTCATATTTACTGAAATTGCCTCCTGCTGGTTTCTGATTGTTCCACTTCTGTTCAGACTTTTTTTCCTAGTTTCACTAGTTCACAGGTGCCATTAAGGAAATCTGACATCAAAAGGTTGAAAGGGGAAGTTGGAAACAATAATGGCTTTTTGTTGTTGCTTGCTGCTTACATTGTCTCATAAGTCTTGTCTTATCAATTTGTTTTCACATGAAATACTCTTGCATTCTGAAGTATTGCTGCAGCATGGTGCTGAACCAACCATCCGGAACACAGATGGAAGAACAGCTTTGGATTTAGCAGACCCATCTGCAAAAGCAGTGCTGACTGGTATGTGATAATCTTTAGATTGTGTTAACTAATAACACTCCAGTGATTGTAAGACAGTATTTGTGTGTTCTTTTTCCCTCAATAACTTTAACTCATTTCTGTTATAAAATTCTAGGTAGAAATTCCCTGCATGGCCTTATTGTGTCATTAACAGGATGCATTTTGGATAAATACTTTGTTATAACAGTTAGGAAATAGTGTCAAATTTTTAGTACTTAGCTTCCTGCAGCTTTGAAAGAGGATGATGAATTGTAAGCCTCAACTCGTGAACTTAAATATATGGATATTTATTTAATAACTTTAGAAATTCTCTTTTATCTTCCAGGTGAATACAAGAAAGATGAGCTCTTAGAAAGTGCCAGGTATGTGTTTTTATGGACACATCTGGAACTTAGTTACTTTTTTATAACTCTACAGAGGTTTTCTGTGTAACGAATGTTTACATCAAGATATTCAAGACCCACCTGGATGCCTACTTGTGCAACCTGGTGTAGGGATCCTGCTTTGGCAGGGGGGTTGGATTCGATGATCTCTGGAGGTCCCTTCCAACCCCTACAATTTTGTGATTCTGTGATCCGTGAGTTGACGTTCCATCTAGGTAGTAAACTTTGGCTGTTTCTATAGATAAAGCCACAAAAATAACTACATAAACACTTTTTTTTTGCTTTGCCTTTAGTACCGAAACAAATAATAAACATAATTTTAGAACAGATTTGCAGAATGTTACAGCAAGGACAAGTATGAAACCATAAGCTGCAAACAATTTTAATAAAATAATTCTGCCTATTTTGTATCTTGTTCTACAGGAGTGGAAATGAAGAAAAGATGATGTCTCTCCTTACACCATTGAATGTTAACTGTCATGCAAGTGATGGCAGAAAGGTATTTTTCTTTAAAAATGCAATTTAAACTCTTTATCATGAGCTATTTATCATTTAGCAGTCATTGCTTGTACTGGCCGTCTTAGTTCCACCTTTTGCAAGCAACATTGTTTGTCCTGGCAAAGTTCTTAGAGATATGACAGTCTAAAACACAGAAATGAATTGCAGAACTCAAAAGTCTGTCAAGAGGTCCTTCATCTCAGAACGTACTAGAAATAAAGCAGACTCAGGATTTGCATTGATTATGTCTGTAGAAGTAGACGATGAGAAATAAACGCAGTTATTGTGTGTCTGATTCAAACTCTCTGGGCTTTTTTGGTATTACAGGTGTTTTAAGGACTTCAGTAATTAGTACTGTTAACAAGTTTTGAAAAAAAAAAAAGAATAAAATGAAATGCTGATTTTGTGTTACTGATCACTGCTATGTTCTATCATTTCAGTCTACTCCTCTACATTTAGCAGCTGGGTATAACCGTGTAAAAATAGTACAGCTCTTACTCCAGCATGGGGCTGATGTGCACGCTAAGGATAAGGGGTAGGTTCATTTTTCCATTGTTCAGAAGAAATGAAAAGTGTTCAAATTTGAGGAATAGTAACACCATTTTAGCCATGAAGATTTTCTGAGCTGAGACTATGAATCTTTCTGTTATGACAAAAATACTATGTAGACAGTCTGAAATATTGTGAAGCAGAAGAATTTAAGCAGAACTGACCACAAAATATGTAGCCTTTAAGGTATCACTAGCCATCTTATTTTTGTTTAAGAAAATACTTCAGTAAATCACTGGTCAGTAAATATCATAATGGCCTAGTCTTAATTTTATTCCTACTTTTAAGTTTCTAGACTTTTTTGGAAAGTGATGAAAAATTGAAGATCTGTTTTTCAGAGTTATCTGTGGACTATGTTTTTAAGCATTTGGTTGTTATCTCAGAACATGTAGTAAAATGCTGATGTGCTGAGTTGTTTATTGTTGCATAAAGTATTTTTAAAATGTTTTTCATTAGATGTATGCCTATGTACGTTAAAGATTATGGAAAACGAACTCTTATCCATCCTTTTATCCTGTGATCCCTTCACTGCTATGTAGATAGCTGTCTGATTAGGCAACTTCGTCCATTCAGTGTTGAAATTCACTTTTGTCATTTCTCCCTTACTTGCCCACAGTAGAAGAGCACACTTTGGATAATTTCTCATTGGCTACTAAGAGCATTCAGCTTGGTAGGATGTGAAGCAGGCTTTAGAACTAGGTCTGTCGTTACTGTGGAATAATGTACAGTTACTTAAGCAGTACCAGTGAAACTCCACTAGTATCCAAGGGAGAAGATAATTTTATAGCAGTGTTCTTGTGAAAAAGGAAGTAACAGCTGTCACTCTAGACAGCTGTTGCCTTTACTTCTTTCTCACTAAGGTTCCAAGTCTTAGAGGAGCCCTTCAATTGCATTAAGACAGTGCAATTCATTTCTCATCTTCTTGTTAACTTACATGTTTGTTGTTCTGAAAAAGGCTGGTCAGTTTATATGGGCTCTTCTCCAGCTTCTCAGTTCCCCTCATTTTCATTTGAACAACTCAGATACCGTTTTTGTTGGGTTTTTTTAATGCTTAAGATGCAGCTTAGTATTATTAACAATGTTTTAGATTTTAGAATTTAAATAGGAGTATTAAGATAATTTCTCTCTTCTCTCCTGTATAGAGATTTGGTGCCACTTCACAATGCCTGTTCCTATGGTCATTATGAAGTAACAGAGCTTCTAGTAAAGGTTAGTCTTTGAAAAAAATAAATTAGATTGGATAATATTAAATAAGAACAGTTTAGACTAATAGACTGATTAAAGTTGCAAATTTTTCATCTTTTTAAAAACTTGAAAGTTGATAGATTCTGGCCCAGAATCATAGCCCGCACACCAGAGGAAAAAGTATGTGAACTTCTTTAATGTAAACCAAATTGGCTTATCTGAATTGTGTTAATCTTGAAGGTAAAGTATTATACACATTAAACCAAGGGCTTCAAGTTCAAGATGTGCCCTGCAAGAGTCTGTGCCTCAGAGGGACTTAGGAACTATACTCATTCTCATCTGTCACAGTAAATCATGAACATTAAAACAGCTGAGGCGGTGCTGTCAGATGACTTGGGCTGCTGGGCAATCAGGGAGTGGCTGGTTTTCTACCTTGTGATCCCAGTCCACCAATCTCAGGTTTAGAAGGAAATAAGTTTAAAATGATCAAAAGAGGCATAAATTGTAGTAAGTATACACAGACAAGTTTTTTGTTTGTTTCAACTTCACAGGCCAGTCATAAAGTAAATCTTTATTTCTGGTACTAGACAAAAAAAGTACCTAGCCACTTCTTGTGTCTTAACTGCCAAGCTGCAATTGTATTTCCTGTTGGGTATCTGCTCCAGTAATTACTGAATTATTTTTTGTGAGCACTACAGCGTTAGCAGCAGCAGTAGGAATGAGCATGTCCAATCAGACTTCCTTATGGTTAGAACTGAAGGTGTCTAGAGAAGAATTACATAGATGTTAAAGTCCTAAAGTCTTACTTGCAGAACTTTGTACTTAAGATTTTAAATCAAGATTGATTTTGCTTATTTCTTTCTGGACATCTTGGCTGTCATTATTTGGGGGCGTTTACAGAATGTGTATTGTTTTGAGCTACTGTAGCTGTTCACTGTAGACTTTTTCTAGAGCAACAAGTAATAGGAGCTTGTCCAGAAGTGATTTGATGTAGGTGATTTAGACTCTTAATTTGATTTGACCTGTAGATGAGCTGTTTGATTTTAAGAGAAGAATACCTGATGAATCTAGCTTGCCTTTAGCTTCTGTAAATGTAACTTCGAGACACCAGAGGATTAAAAACTGCAATATGTTGAAATATTCTGTTATATTGAATGTGAAAATCTGGAGAATGTCTTGGATACCATTTCCATACTAGCTTTGATTTTTATTTTAACAGTCTACTGTATTGACAAGTCTTCTTCTAGAAATCTGGGTTTGATATTGTATCTTTTCTACTACTTTCCTTTTCAAGCATGGAGCATGTGTGAATGCAATGGATCTGTGGCAGTTCACTCCTCTGCATGAAGCAGCTTCTAAGAACAGGGTGGAAGTATGCTCTCTTCTGTTAAGTTATGGTGCTGACCCAACACTGTTGAACTGTCACAACAAAAGCACCATTGATTTGGCTCCAACGCCCCAGTTAAAAGAACGATTAGCATGTGAGTATAAAATCAGTTCTGCAGTTTTAGATTGGACTGTATGCTTAGGTTCCCTGGACAGTGACCCAGCAGAAGTTGAACTTGGAAAATGCTTACACTTTACCCTTAATTGTGCAATGTTTGGCATTTTATTTCACTACTTAAGATTCAAAGTTGCTAGAATGTTTCTGAAGGTAGGTCAATTTTATTTGTGATCAGGATGTTTTTTGTGGCCTTTCTTCCCTAAATACATTTTCCCTTGTGACCTTACTGGTACGTTTTTGTTTTCCCCATTTACTCCTGTCATTGCATCAAGACTGCTGAAATATTCATGTTTATTCCATTGTACTTTGTTGGAAGAAAAGAAGAAAATAACTGTTTTGAACTAGAAATGGTTTTCCAAAGGGAAGTCAGGCTTTAGTTTAGAAACAAAGTGGGATTCTTGTGTTTTAACTTAGCTAGTAAGTTCTATCAAGTGGTTTAACAACTTAAGTCTGAGCTGGAAACTTTTTGCCAACCAATGACTGTTGCAGAGGGAGAAGCCCCTTAAATGTCCTATCAGGAAATAAAATGGTTGTTTTTGTCTAATTCAAAGAATCAATCTTCTTGATCCTTCTAGTGTTAAGGAATGTAATGTTCTGGAATGTACGTATTTCTCTTTAAAGATGAATTCAAAGGTCACTCACTGCTACAAGCTGCAAGAGAATCAGATGTTGCTCGTATAAAGAAACATCTTTCTTTGGAGACAGTTAACTTCAAGCATCCTCAAACACATGAGACAGCACTGGTAACATTTCAGAATTTCTTATTTGTCTTGCGTGTATTGTGACTGACCTAGATGTAGTAGGCAATAGTTGAGGGCTCAGTTGCATTGTTAAACAGTGTAGTTGTGTAATTCAGACCAGTGTCTAGCATTTAAAAAAAAAAAAGTTGTTTAAGAGTAATGTTAAGACTAATACAAATTGCTGCTTTTACTTAGGTTGTATAAATTCTCTTCTATAGAATGCTATAGAATTTTGAGTATTAGCAAGTTAGATGTGTTAGCTTTGTAAAGCTTAAAATCTTTTGAGAGAGAGTTTGGGAAAGTACTAGAATGAATCTAAAGAGTTCGTCTGGAACTCCTTAAATTAGTAAGCTTCTCGGTATATTTCTTTTTATGCTGACTTTGCACACAACCAGATTTAGTAAGTAATAAAACCTTGTGTTGGTAACTGGTTATTAATGGTTTTTAATGTTTTTTTTTTTTTAGCACTGTGCTGCTGCATCTCCATATCCTAAGAGAAAACAAGTATGTGAATTGCTGCTGAGGAAAGGAGCTAACATTAATGAAAAGACAAAAGAGTGAGTGACAAGTGAATCCTCCTGAATTCTTGTTTAAAAGATTTTGCCAAATACCTTCTGAATTACATTTTTTTTCTTTAAAGCTTCTTGACTCCTCTGCATGTGGCATCAGAAAAAGCTCATAATGATGTTGTTGAAGTAGTTGTGAAACATGAAGCTAAGGTATGAATTAATATTTTTACTTTTCTTTTTGTTGTTTAATTTCTGTTTGTCTTTTCTTGTCATGAGAGTGGAGAGCAGAGTAGACACTTGGCTGAATTTGTTTTGGAAGTTATAGATTTATACCCTTAAGACACAGACTATCAATCCAGCAGTACAGTTATGCACTTTGAGACATTGTCTTTGGTCCTATCTTATAAAATGTGCAGACATAGTTCTTTTCGATGTTAATTAAAAATTTACAAAATATCTTATTACCTGCTGTATTGTCAAGAAGGAGAAATTATACTCTGCTTAAAAAAAAAAAAGATGGGAGAGCACGAACAAGAGGTTAGTCAGAACCGCAAAACAGGTAGACTTTGTTGTGTGCATTAAAAATTACAGTGAAAGCAAAACGTTACATCAGTATAGTGTTTTGACCCAAATTTCCACAAAAAGAGAATGTAGAAAGAAGATGCTCTGTAATTTTGGGCTTGGGTTGCTCCGGACTGGTATTTTAAGTTCTTCTTTATGGAAACTTGGATACAGCTTTTGGATGCAGCCTGCTGTAAAGTTTACAGAGTGATAATCAAAACCAGTGGAACAGTAGGAAGTACAGATAAGCTTTGGGTACACGATTTTGAATGTTGGCTGCCTTGATTGAAACACTGTTATAAAGTCCTAAATCTGAAAGAATACTTTAAGCCAATATACATAAAAGTGACTTTACACACTGGCACAAAAGATGCTTGCTGCACAATGAAAATTACAGTCTGTCTGTATATGGTAAAGCTGCTGTAACTGATTGTTTACATGTATTTAAACACGTGATTATTCCTGTGATTCTAAAAGGAGTCTATTCTTCCTCTGTAAATGCAGTTATAACTTTATGAACAGCTATTGTTTGTCTTATCTTTTGAAATGTCATGACCTTTGATTAGAATAACATTCAGCATATTTTCAAATTAGGAAGAATACTTGTGAAACACACCCAGTCAGCAATGAAAATAGCTTTAACAGTGTTTTGCTGTTATTATTTCTTTTAAGAATGTATTCTAAAGATTCTGTTTTTTATTTTTAGGTTAATGCATTGGATAACCTTGGCCAGACCTCTCTTCATAGAGCAGCACATTGTGGTCACCTCCAGACTTGTAGGTTGTTGTTGAGTTCTGGATGTGATCCTTCCATTGTGTCTCTGCAGGGCTTTACAGCCTTACAAATGGGGAATGAAAGTGTGCAACAACTACTACAAGGTACAACTGATTTATTCAAGATGTGTTTAGGAAGTGATGTGATAACAAGTTACTTGCTATTTTGAGTTCTGTCAAGGCATAATAGTGAACAAACAAAAAAAGTTGCTTTTTACAAAAGGTAAAAGCTGGCTTGAGTTATTCAGTTCTTATTCCATAACCACATGCGTATGGAAAGGTTCTGCTTATAGATATAATTAAATCTCTAGTATTGGCATGCAGATTGTTGGAATTGCTCAGAATGTTCAATGGTATAGCCACTTTGTAGAAATTCTGATATATGGAGGGGAGGGTACAGTCTTGTAAGTAGAAAGTGGATTTAAAAAGAAAAAAAAATGGTTGCTGTGCATTTGTTAGCAGAGGGAACAGGCTATGTAGATTTTAATGACTAGGGTTTAGATACTATATGTGTAAATTTTCTTCAGATTAGTCTTATTCTGAAACTGAATGTTTAATTGGTTTCACAGTATTCTAAAGTTTGTAGGAATCATGTTCCTGTAGGCAACTTTTTAATAGCTACAGCTGTACATAATTAAAAAAAATACATAAGCTATCTATAATTGAATAGTTTTTTCCATTAAGTCCTTGACTTCCTTTAAATTCTTGAAATGCTGAAATTATTTCCTATCCTAAATTATTTCAAGTGTGTACAGTTAATTCTCTGCCATGCAATCTCATTTATTTTGCAGAAGGTATCCCTCTAGGTAATTCAGATGCAGATCGACAGTTGTTGGAGGCTGCAAAGGCTGGTGATGTAGATACTGTTAAAGTAAGTTAAAACCTGTCCCAAAAAGAAGTGGGAATTACATGCCAAACTGTCATTTCTCAAAAAAGAAAAAAAAAAAAGCAAACGAATAGCTTTTCTTACTACTTTATGTTAAGTTACAATTCATGCTGAAACCTTTCTATTGTGCAAAACTACAGATAACAAAAGTTGATGTTTACCGCCTCCTGAATTTGCATTCAATTCTTACATTAAAAATGTATGTATGTCACAGATGTGAGATTGGGAAGAGAAGGTAATTATTTTTTCAGAGGATACAACCCATGAAAAGTAAAATTTCTATTTTAAAAACAGTTTTTAAAATGAAAAAAGTTTTTTCAAATTGGGTATGTATAACACCATTTTATGACTCAACATGTTTCTACACTATACAAAGGTGTTCATGTTTTGTCTGTTGGGTTTCACAGAAACTGTGTACAGTTCAAAGTGTGAACTGCAGAGATATCGAAGGGCGTCAGTCTACACCACTTCATTTTGCAGCTGGATACAACAGGGTGTCTGTTGTTGAATATCTTCTTCAGCATGGAGCTGATGTGCATGCAAAAGATAAGGGGTAAATAATCAAACTTGTATATTTTCATGCTATTGTTACTTCTTACGTTTGTGAGCTTTTGTCTTTTGATAGCTGATATGCATCCCATCTTTCTTCAGTCAGTCGTTTATTTTCATGGGCACTTCTGTTGCAATGAAACTGTTAGAATATCCAGAAAAACATTTTGCGGTACTTGAGATAAGTACTGTTATTCTGTTTTTACTTTTATTCACTGCTACTGGCATTTTTACTACTTTGGTAGCAGATATTCCTACTGCAATAGGCTACTATGGAAAATGTAATTTTCTTAGAAGAGTTTTTGTTATAGTTGTTTAAGGTATGTTGTGCTTTAGGTTCATATCTGTGTGTGAAAAGAGATTCTTTTTTTTATTATTATTTTTAAGATAACCTTTTTATTATTTGTTTTCCAGAGGACTTGTTCCTTTACATAATGCTTGCTCGTATGGTCACTATGAGGTTGCAGAGCTGCTTGTTAAACATGGTGCAGTTGTCAATGTAGCTGACTTGTGGAAATTTACTCCCTTACATGAAGCTGCAGCAAAAGGAAAATACGAGATTTGCAAACTGCTATTGCAGGTACTACATATGCTTGAGAGAGGTTACTTTCTTTTCTTTCTTATTCAGCCTGAAATGTGATTGTATTTCTTGGAGAAATTGGTTTGTGGTTGCTAAATGAATGAAGTAAACATTTTCTGTAGAGGACAACTATTGGCAAGTGTATTGATTTATTTTTTTTTTCATTGTAAGTGGAAGGCTCTCTCCAAAGGAGTCAAGAATGTGTGAAAGTATTTGCTTAGTAAGGTGAAAGATTCCGAAGATGCACGGTATTTATTCTGCGTATCTGCATACTCAACACCTGTTTTTTTTGTGTGTGTACAGCATGGAGCTGACCCCACAAAGAAGAACAGAGATGGAAATACTCCTTTAGACCTTGTTAAAGATGGCGATACTGATATTCAAGACCTACTTAGAGGAGATGCAGCTCTACTAGATGCTGCTAAGAAAGGTTGTTTGGCCCGGGTTAAAAAGCTCTGTTCACCTGACAATGTCAACTGTCGGGACACACAAGGACGGCATTCAACACCACTGCATTTAGCAGGTCAGTGTTCTATTTAACTGATTGGAATTAGTAAACTAGAGTCCTTAATTTAGTATTCTATGCATATTATTACGTGTTTCTTCACTCTTCTAAACTGTTTAACTTCAGTTTTCCTGTTCTGTTTAGCCCAAGAGAGTCTTTTGTTGGGCATACAGAGGTTTTTGTTGGGCATTGACAGAGGTTTTAAAATCAATTAGTCTTAAGTGGGATGAAGCTGTCTTCTCTAACAGTGCACTGTCTTCACTGGAAGGGACATATTAACTTCCAAGTAATTTAAGTGAATTATCATTCTCTGCAGTTTGTCAAGGTAGTCTTTAAAGGTATGTTGCATTCATTCTGTCCTTTCTGTCCTTTTGCACCCTTCCAGCTGGTTACAACAATTTGGAGGTTGCAGAGTACCTGCTACAGCATGGAGCAGATGTGAATGCTCAGGATAAAGGAGGTTTGATTCCTCTGCATAATGCTGCATCTTATGGGGTAAATATATTGGACTTTGAAGATATTTTCTTAAAATAAGCAGTGCATTTCAGTGATAGCACTGTGAGCCAATACTTTCCAGAAAGCTTTTGCTGTTGACTTACAATGTAATCTTATTTATAAAAAAGCAAATAAGTAATTCAGTCATAGCAAGCTTGTTGTCATATGCAAGCAATTCTTTGAATTTGTAAAACAGTGGTATGAATTGACAGACTTCAGTTTTCTGAACATGAACACATGCAAAGTCAACAGCTCAAAAGGTGTTCCACAAAATTTGTTTCTATACCTGTGCCAATTTGATTCTACCAACAAGTCTGGTGTTGAGATACTATAGTTTGTGGCTCAGGATCTTTGTGCTTGGATCAAGTCTTTAATTCTCCTGGATTTGAATTCTGTTGTAGTCCCTTTTTTGTTTTTTTTTCTCCCCCATGAGAGAGCTTTTATCAGTATGAAATAGGTAAGGAAGAAAACACCTCATCTTAAAATCATCTTAAAACTTACTTTTATAGTAATTGCAAAGTAAATGCATTATAAGGAAAATCAGAATGAGAATTACAGAGAAGTTATCAGCAGTAGTTGTGAGTTAACTTAATATTTGGTAGTACACTGGAATACATCCCTGATGATTTTATTTTTCCAGCATGTAGATGTGGCAGCTTTGCTTATAAAGTATAACGCGTGTGTGAATGCTACAGACAAATGGGCTTTCACACCTTTGCATGAAGCAGCCCAGAAAGGAAGGACACAGCTTTGTGCCTTGTTGCTGGCACATGGGGCTGATCCTACTCTGAAAAACCAGGAAGGACAAACAGCTTTAGACCTGGTCACTGTAAGTGTTGGGGTTCTTGGGAAATCTGTTCTTACCTACTGTTTGTGGCAGCTCACCTTAAATTACTCTCACTATGGGTTTTCTTGTTTGTACGTGTCTGACAGGGAACGTTAGTAGAGCATTTTTAAGCCTTTAAATATTTTCTTGCTCAAGGCTTACTTCAAAATGAGGCAGGGGAAAAAAGCACCAAAAGAATTTGTGCTTATAAATTAATGTTCTTAATTTAATACTTAGATTTTTAACGAATAAAAAAATTGTAGCAATCAAATGTAAGCAAACTTTATAGCAACACGAATTTGGGAAACTATATCTGGCAGTAAGGTTCTGATGGGTTGTCTTTCCCTCCAAGTTTTATAATACAATCCAAAGTTACCCAGAGTAAATATTATTTCATAAAATCTGGAAGAAAAAAAAAAAAAGACAGAAGCTTTTGGTAGTTTTTCCTACAAACTTAGTTTTATTTAACTGTCTCATAAGCTTTTAAGAAATATCGAAGTCAAAACTTTTTGTCTTATTACTGTTTGTATTTATAAACATCTTACAGAACCGTCTGTGCTATTAGCATAAAAGGCTCTTTGTTGAATTGCATTGTAAAGTATGTTTTCCAATATGCATTTGTTTGTTTTTCATTATACTTAGGAATAAGTCTGGAATGATGATGATGCGTTTAGGATAAACAACTCTGTAAAAATGTTCCTGTGTTTTAATAAATTGTCTTCTGATGTTTAGGCGGATGATGTCAGCGCACTATTGACAGCAGCAATGCCTCCTTCTGCCTTACCATCTTGCTACAAACCTCAGGTTATAAGTGTATCTCAGACAGCAGGTTCTACAGCTGATCCCCTGTCATCTGTTCCATCCAGTCCATCCAGTCTATCTGCTGCAAGTAGTCTTGACAATTTGTCTGGTAGTTTTTCTGAACTTCCATCAGTTGTTGGTACAAACAGTGCAGAGGGAGCTACTGTTCTGGAGAAGAAAGAAGGTGAGACTTTCTCAATTAGGAATATGTAACAGTTTCTACTGTATTATGGAGTACATCTGTGAAGTTTCCCGCAGATGTACACAGTTTCTGTGACATAGAACATACACCATATCCCTATTCATTACAATTCATTACACTGTTGTTAGTGAAGAAGTCTAAAAATCTTGTAGTACAAGATTTTATACTTTCTCCTTACAGAGTATCTTTAAAAGATACTTTCTTTCTTCCATACAGACTCAGAAGGGTGAACTGTGTCTTAAAAGAGAAATCAAATGAAATTTGACTCCATTCCAAGCCGTGTTTTACAACTAATTTATCCAGTTTCTAAAAGGTTAGACCAGATATTCTGAACAGGTTACTTCTATGATGTGTTAGTTCTCAAAATGTTTGCTGTTTGCACATCCATTTCTATTAGGTAGGTAGTTGTTTATCTCACAGAGGCAAAAAGAGCACTTTTGTGTGTGTGCACATGTGCACAGATGTTGGAGTCTTTGGGTTGACTGATTGTTGTCACTAGTTAGTGGCAGATATTTATTTCCTATTTTCACAAGGCCAGGAATTTCTTTACCTCCCATCGTTGCCACTGATAGTAACATTGTATTTTGTTATGTAGTACATACATGAATGTTTCTTCTGAGGTTTTTCTTTTATCCAGTCTCAGGTGTAGATTTCAGCATAAATCAGTTTGTGCGGAACCTTGGCCTTGAACATCTAATCGACATATTTGAGAGAGAACAGGTGAGTATGTGCACTTATTTCCAGATACTCCGTTAGAAAGCAAGGAAATAAATGCTGACTGGTTAGAATAGTGTAGTTAGGTATATTTAAAATAAGTCAGTGTTTCCAACTTGGAATGGAATGAAGGAAAGGTTTATACTTGTGGAATTTTTTATATATGTTAGTGTAGATGTGTATTATATATATATGTGTGTGTGTGTGAATATTTATATGCATATAAGTAAAACCTATGAACAAGAGTGTACCAGTTAGAGAGTATAGCTCTGTTTCCTTTTAGTGGTATACATGGTGAATAGTAGTACATACTGATTAGTAATTTGTGTTTATTTCTCAGTCAGAAATGTGATCCTTGCTAATGATACCAGTTGCTTCGTTGTGTGTTTCTCAGCATGTTTATTTGCAGACATAAGTTTGGAGAAAACAGTTGAATCGGAGCTAAGGACAAGAATAGTATCCTAAGTCGTGTATATTTTCTTACTCACTTTTTGCCTCTGCAGTTGTGATGTATGTTTCTGCTGTCATTGGCAGCTGTGTTGTTCTGTTTGTGCTGTTGTACAAAAAATGATCTATCTCCCATTTTAGATAACACTTGATGTGTTGGTTGAAATGGGGCACAAAGAATTGAAGGAAATTGGAATTAATGCTTACGGCCATAGGCACAAAATCATTAAAGGAGTTGAAAGGCTGATTTCTGGACAGCAAGGTATATACTTGTTCCAAGTTATTATGTAATACTGCTTTTGTAGAATCCGTTTCACTAATACCTCAGATTATCTCAGGCAGTGGCATTGTTGTCTGTCAGTGCTTTTGTTAATTTTCTGTATCTTGCTCTTGTGCTCATATACCTAAGTATGTTTGTGTTGCAAGCACTTCAGGCTGATTATCTGTTTTGATGCCATGATCAGCAGTTGCAGACTCTGGGATTGTGCAAAAGGACAGGTTCCATGCTTTTCCACTGCCTAATGTTGAAATGAACTCTCAAGCAGGCAGAGGCTCATGTGTAGTTGCCCTGTCATGTATGTTGGAAATACCAGGCTAAGCACAGGCACATGGGTTGATGTGTCTGAAATGTTCATTCCTGTGGATGGAATGAATGATAAGCATCCTCAGATAAATAAAAATAATTTTAATCTGTATTCAAACACAGCCACTATGCTTTGATGGCATTTATGATGTTTTAATTGTAATGTTTGGGGAGGGGTTATGAAAGGAAATATTGGAAAAGTTTGTTTCAAACCAGCAAAGTAGTTTGAGGGATGGCACTTTGACATCCTCAGAAAAATATGTTGCTGATGGAAGGCAATGTAAATCATTGAAAATATTTGCTGCCTTATTTTTGGCAAATCTCTTCATCCTATAAAATGTGTTCTCAGAAAATGGATCTCTTGAAACTCTGTTAATGGTGATCATGCCAAACTGGCAGTCTTAAAGCAGTTTCTGAAACTGCTGCTATGTTTTGTTGTATTCACAGGACTTAACCCATACCTGACTCTAAACACCTCCAGTAGTGGAACTCTTCTCATAGATCTTTCCTCTGAAGATAAGGAGTTTCAGTCAGTAGAAGAGGAGGTATGCCTCTCTTTGTAATTTGTCAGTATTTTTTGTTAGTTCCACTACTGATGTGGCCAGAAGAGCATTGCTAGACAATTGAAGTATGATTAATGTCTATAAGTATATTAAGAAACTTGCAATAAGGATACTTCAAGTTTCCATCTTATTTATACCACTGTTACAGTCCGTGCTCATGAGATTGGTATTTTTTTCTTAGTAATGTTCTTATTGCTAGTCATGTTTTTAAAACTCTACAATATAGAAGAGCTCTTGCATATAACACAAATTCTATGCTACCAATTGCCTGCCTGTGTTTAAGTCACTTCCTTCAAGTATAATAATCACACAAGACCGTTGTGAAGAAACAATAGTCCAAACAGAATAAAGGCAATCTTTCTCATTTGAAATCTTCAGATGCAGAGTACTGTCCGAGAGCACAGAGATGGAGGACATGCTGGGGGAGTCTTCAATAGATACAACATTTTAAAGGTAACTGTCACATTTTCATGACTAAGTGATCTGGCTGAAATTATCCCTGACTTATCCATAAAATGTTTTGCATTTATTTGTTGAATTCTATAAGAGATGCATCATTCCGAGACATGCACAGGGAAAAGATTATCCTCCAGGGAAATTCAAAGAGTAGGGTGATATGGTAAAAACTACTTACAGGTCAATAAACATTTAAAAAAAAAAAAAAAAAAGATTTGACATAAAAGGACTTCACAGAAAATTGCAGAATATCTGAAGAAAAATATAGAAGGTTTCATAGGAAACAAAGGCTTACTTCCATTAAGGAAGTGTGAGGAAAAAGCAGGAAACAAGAAGTGAAAACAAAACTTTTGAGGCGTGGAAGTGAAGGGATGTAGTATGGCTTGATTTAAAACCAAAGCAGCTTAAAACAACGGGAAGTAGACAACCTTTGTTTAAATAATTTAGTAGAATTTCAGTTCGCATTTTCTCCTGGAAAAATGGTTGGTTTTAGTTAAATTGATTCTCAACTAAACGTATAGTTACAATTTACTCAGTATTATACTGCAGTAACACTTGTGAGGGTGAATTAGAGAATTCCGTTGTTTTGTTGAGTTTTAAAGAAAGAAATATTCTTTACTTTAAAATGCTTAAAGAATACTTATTGTGATATAACTAATGTATGGTAAAAATCTGTCATGTAAACACAAGTTTTCAATTTGGGGATTAAACTTATATTTTTACTGTTTCAGATTCAGAAAGTCTGCAATAAAAAGCTGTGGGAAAGATACACTCATAGGAGGAAAGAAGTCTCTGAAGAGAATCATAACCATGCTAATGAAAGGATGCTGTTTCATGGTGAGATGTTGGAATGTGTCTTAGATACTCATCTAACCAGCAATACTATTTAGTGGAGGGTTTCTGTTGGTTATATGTGCTAGATTTTTTTTCAAATATTTTATTAAGACACTACATATAATGCAATGGATCCTTCTTCTGAATCTTGCACAACTATGTTTCTTCCACAGGAGACTATGAAGTTCTAAGTGAAAACATTTTAGCTGTAATGAATGGAGGCTAAGGGAACATGCCTCATCCTTCACTAAGTTACCAATTCTGTTTTATTGTTTTTTTTATGAAAGTGATGAAGGATCAAACTATTCTACTATGAATTGTGGGGGTTGTTTGTTTAATTGGTAATTTAGTTCTTATAGCCTTTACTGGAATGATAAATAAATAAATAAAGGTTATCATATCAAAGCTAATTGAAAGATGTCTTGCATACAGTTATACAGTTTATACTCTATCCTGATAGAGAAATTAAATGCAACCACTGTGCATTCTTACAGTGAAAAAAACTACTTAGTTCCCAAAACAAGGTTATTCTTGGAAGTCACAGTAACACAGCGATTATTGCTTGCCCAGACTGACAGAACAAAATACTGTCTTTTGGCTGTGGTCTGTACCTGCATAAGGAACCAGCCTCCTGATGGAATGATCCTTCTTTAAAGAAAAGACTTGAGATTATTTTCACTGTAACTCCTTAGATAACTGAAATGCCACGTTCTCTTAGAACAGCTTTTCTATAAAAATTCCCCCATATTCATACTGTGATATAAAAGCTTACTAGAAGAATACATTTTTTTCAAAATTAAAGGATATAATGCATCTCAAGATCCAGAGTCTAACTTTCTGATAGGTTATTCTTGAAGTGTAAATGTTATGACCACTGGTTGCAAGTAAATAAATGGTGAAAAAGAACACTGGAGAGACAAACAGCTTTAGACAATTGCTGCACAGTTTTGTTTGGAGTGTATTTTTTAACTTTTTAAAAGGCAACTTACTGTTAAGAAGAAAATGGGATTTGTGTAGCAGCACAGCCCAGAATCTACGATACGAAGCCATGCTGAAGGGAATGCAGATTCACTGAGCTTTCTCCTGTAGCAAGAGTTATTTGTGATATTATCCTTTGCAAATATATGATAAGCTGACACCTTTCAGCTCCTATCCCTTGCATAAAATGGTCATGTAAACTGGTCATGTAAATTGGAGCTCAGAATTTCTGGATATAGATTTTGCTCGGTGTGTGTGAGGAAATGGTATACCAAAAAGAAGTTGGGGGATGATAGTAAAATTGTTACAAATTTCTATGTGCTGTATTTCAAATATTTTACTTCCTTTCTCTTAGGCTCCCCATTTGTGAATGCAATCATTCACAAAGGCTTTGATGAAAGACATGCTTATATAGGTGGCATGTTTGGAGCTGGGATTTATTTTGCTGAAAATTCTTCCAAAAGCAATCAATATGTGTATGGGATTGGAGGTGGCACTGGATGTCCAATTCACAAAGACAGATCCTGTTATGTTTGCCATAGGTAAGTTATGATCTTTTATGTAAAAGAATCCGATCTTGATTTACTGGTCTACAAGTGTGCAAATTAGCAGATTCTTTGAGAAAAGATTTCCTTGGTAACCAGGCCTTTTTAGCACCTGCTATACACTGAGCCTAGCAGAGATGATTAAATAACTTCAACGTTTGTATTACAGAACCTGCAACCATCTTCAGTGTATATAACCAATACTTTGCCCTTAAAAATCAGACTTAGGTAACCTGAGAGCAAGGAGGGTCTGCTAGCTGCTTGTGTGAAAAATGTAGCAGTGTCAGTGTGCTGTCCACTTGATTGTCTGTTACAGAGACAGGAAAAACTCAGTGATGCTCAGATGCTGTATTGAGGAGAATTTGGCACTTTGGAAGAGTTCATCTCCATGTCACTGCTGCTTCAGACAATAAAATATAGGCATGGATTTATGCAATTCTGACACTACCAACATTCTTAAATCCCCTTAGTTCCTTGAGTCTGTGCATATATTCACTTTATACTGTTAGCATTTTCTGGTTCTCTCAAATAAAAATAAGAATCTTCTTGAGGTCTGGAGAATGTCAGTCTAGTCAGCCTGTTAGATAGAAATCTAATGTTAGAGCATCAGTGAACTATGATGTTAGCATGAATTATTTGAGAGTAGGGACCCATAGAAAATTAAGGTGGAAAAGGGGAGTGGAGGGAAAGCTCAGTGAAAAATCTTGAGTGCTTTGTTAAGCATACTGTCTCCAGTAAGTATTTTTTTTTGCTATTAATAACAACAACCCTTTTCTCAGACAGAAGAACTTTTCCAAAAATGCTGTAACTTTTGTCCTTCCAAACAAAATTTCAGAATTTTGCAAACTACAGAGACTAACTAAAGTGTCCATAAAGTGCCACAGTTCTCAAGCAACAGTTTAAAATTACAAAGACAGTCTTTCTAGCACTGTACAAGCATTCTGTAGTCATAATCCTTTTTTTCCTTTTAACACAGGCAGTTGCTGTTTTGTCGTGTAACGCTGGGCAAGTCTTTCCTGCAGTTCAGCGCTATGAAAATGGCCCATTCTCCCCCTGGACATCACTCAGTTACTGGGCGACCCAGTGTAAATGGACTGGCATTGGCAGAATATGTCATTTACAGAGGGGAGCAGGCAAGTTGCTTTTTTGGTTTGGATTTTCAGATTCTTTTTTTAATGTAGTATGTTACCTTTTGTAGGGTCCTTTTGTTTTTGTTGTGTTTTTTTTCACCTTACATTCCATGTGGTAGAAATAGCTTTTGTCTTAAACACTAGTTGTGGCTGAACGTGAATTTTCTTTGTTGTTTGAATACTTGAGGCATTTGACATTTTGTCTTCTTCTTTGACAATAAGCATATTTTTTTTTCTTCTATAGCAAACATTCTGAATGTATCCAGAAAATGTAAACTTAATAAAGTGTGTGTGTGTGTGTGTGTGTGTGTCACTCTTTCAGGCTTATCCAGAATACTTGATTACTTACCAGATCATGAAACCTGAAGCCACCACTGAAGCTTAAGACAAATTACATGTGAGAAACCATCAGACTTGGATGTGAAGATACCAGTGGCTGCCATCCTGTTAACTGCAATGAGTTGTTGGAAAAAAAAAAAAAAAAGATCTTCCATCCACAGGTGGTGTGGTAGCAAATGTGAATAAAATCTGCCGTTTTTGACTTGATAAAGCTTTAATAATGTATAGTATGTTTTTCTAAAATTTCAGAATTGTCCTCTTTTTCAGCACTTTAACAGACACCATTCCAGGCGTAAACTGCAGTTTGCCTGTACTAAATTATAAACAAAAATTAACTTGAAACAATGGTTTTATACAATACTGCATTGAAATATAAAAGAAATTATAATGCTCTATACAGGAAATCATTTTACTAATATTGTGTTCTTTAAAACACTGCATTTACACTGAAAATGTTTCCGTTTGTAAAACTGTAAATAAGAGCTTTTGTACTAGCTTGGTATTTATTTACATTGCTTTGTAATATAAGTGTTTTAGAACTGCAACCTTGTACAAAATGTTTTTTTCCAAATGTTGGTTTGTTCATCTGTTTGCTCATGCGCAATAGATTTGAAAAGCCAATTTTTTTTCAGGGTTTATAATTTGTTTGGGGGAGAGAAAACAAATTTTATCTGAAGAAGTTTAGAAATAGCCAACTTTAGATTGAATATTCAAATTTTTGTTCTGTAGTTTTATTTATGAAATATACATTCCTGAGAATAATAGGCTATGAAAATATTCCAACTGAATGCTAGGGTGTTTTTCCACCTCTTTACTAGAGTCTCATATTTTTATTTCTGTAAAATGTCTTCTGAAGTTTTTATTTAACTGTAGCTATAGTTGAGCTGTATCCTCACTTCAAGGCTAGTAGACCTTGCAAGTTAGTTTTAATAAATTATTTTCCTTGAATGTAGTTGGCAAATTAACCTCAAGGAGGTCTGTCTTGAGTTCCTCTTGCTTCCATTTAAGCCAGGAAGTTAAATGGTTCATTCCTAATATGAGGGTGGGCAGCTTGGCCTTCTCCATATGATTATTTTGCTAAATGCATCTCCTTGTTTATGCCCTCAGGATGTGAGTATTGCAAGGTGGAAATGTTAAAACCATCATGTCATCTCCTGTGTTTCTTCCATGTTAAAGTTCAAGCTGCAGTTGAAGCACTTGTCTAGAAGTGTGCTTGCCTGCAGTGCTTCTGGGTGAGTGGAGCTGATGGGGGCACAGCTCGGGGCCCTTGTGCTCAGGCTGCTGGATGAGCAGTGCAGAAGTGGGACCTGCGGTTCTCCCGTGGTGACAGCTGCCCCACGGTACTCTGCTAAGGCCACTGCTGTGGAAAAGGAATGCCAAAGGTATCGCCCCGTGCCAAGTCACATTCAGGGTTATTGAGTGCGCTGATGGGTTCGGTCAGCCCTCTCATAGCTTTCTACTTCTTTTCCATCTGCAGTTTTTGCCTACATATTTCAAAAATATGTAAATACAAATTAGAGTTCATTTGTTTTTAACGTGGTTAGGAGTATATTTGAGTTGTTTTATATTTCTGCATACAGCATAGTGTCCCAGAAGACAATTTGGTTGCTGGCCATGTTATCATACCATGGTTTTAAATGTAGTAACTGGTCAAGATAATGAAAACGTCTTGCTGATGTGGTGGTTATGTGATTATGCTCTATGTAAAAATGTATTGAACCTTACCCAGTTATGTGGGAATCTGAGTAATAAGATTGCATAACTTATCTCTTGCAGAAAGTAATATTGGCTATGAATAAAAAAGGCGTTGATTTTTAGGTACTTTTCCCAGCATGTTGCCTGTTCCTTTGGTGTAGTAACGCTGGAATTGGTGTTCATGCAAAACCTGTTAAGTATGTTTAAAACTTCTTTGTTATTACTACAATGCTTCATTCTCTATGAATGATCACCTAATGTCTTGTAAAATATTGTGGTATGATAGATTTAAGTGGTACCACAACACTGGTTTTGTCTGTTTGGGGATTTGTTGAGCTGTTTTTTTGTTTTTTTTTTTTTGCATGACATACCTTGCACTCTGAAGATGGAAGCTGTAATGATTTGATAATATTGACTATTGAGGTGAATCTTTAATCTCGTGTGCAATTAGTTCTGCTTTACTCATCCTAAAGTGTCTTTACATGTACTGTGTAACATTCCATATTCATTTAACACTAAATAAACTTAATTCACTGGTTTTCTGGTAGCATGAGTAATTACATGAGTAATTACAGATGTAGCGTGTCAACCCGTCGTTTTGAATGTTAGCATGCAAGATAATTTAACAAACTACATTAGTAGAGGGGAAATTAATTGCATTAGAGAAGCATGGACAAAAACCTGTAAATACTGTGGAAACTTGTAGTCTGGTATATAGCTAACTAACTGCTTTAGCTGACAGTGCAGATGTTTTAGTAACCTGAAGCTTTTGTCTACGTTTATTACGCATTTAAAACTGCATTATCTGGTCTTAAGCTGGAAGAAAATGGCCTCGAGTTGCTTCTGTAAAATGAAGAGTAGCCTGAAAATTTGGACCTTTTAGGTTAGTGTATTGGTAGCAGTGTGATAAACAACTTACTGATAGTACTAGGTAAATAGTTCTCTTTCAGTAGAAGTGTTTGTGTGGTAGGTGGTTTCCAAAACCAGACTTGAACAGAAGATGTAGACAGAGACGATCGCTAGATGGCAGGAGAGTAAATTTGTAGTGAGACAGAAGGTGATGAAATTCTTTAAGGTATCTTGGGAGTGTAATTACAAAGAAAATCATTTCTGAAAACTTTGCCAATCGAGATTGTTACCAGAAGCAAACAAAAAAGTAAATTTAGTTTTCCATTCTGCGTTTTGTAAAGTAATCAGTGTAAAAACAGTTGCTTCAACTAAAGAAATTGAAAATGTTAATTTTTTTCAAAACTGTACTCATAGTAAGAGTTCAGTTCTCAGAAACTCAGAAATAATTTGGCAAGACTCTTCTGCTGAATGGAACTGAAAACTAAGATTTATCCATGCAGTGCATGTCCAATGTTCAAGAGCTGTGTTGACACTGATTTTGAGTGGAGTAAATTGTATAAAAGGAGTTGTTCCTGTCTTTTCTACCCTGAACTTCCCCATTAAGTATCGTGCTGTGTGTGCCTGTACATGTGTATTTATGAGTATGCACACACGTGCTTTTTCCCTTTCCTCATTCACTACAGAGGAGCAATAACACTGAGCTGCAGTGGCTGAGGATGATGGCAGCAGGGGCAGTGCTGTAGCTGAAGGTGCCCAGGGAGGCACATGCCAGTAGGCATGGGGAATGGTGCTCTGGAACAGCATAGGGAGGGGATTTTCACTCTGGCTGCGTGCCTCCCCAGGTGACCAGGAAGAGCTGCAGGTGGTCAGAACAGAGAGCAAGACAAGGAGAAAAAGCATGTAGATGACTGGTTTGGAGTTAATGTGTTCTGCTCTGAAAAGGGAAAGGTTGATAACTGAGAGAAGACAGGAGGGGGGAGAGATGCTATTTGCAAATTGTAAGGGTACTGTGAAGTTACGGTTATTTCTGTCTCATTTTTGAGTCGAAATGGCAAACAAATGTTGATGCATAGACATTACAGGGATTTCAAAATAGCTGCTCTTGTTAAGAGCTCAAATGGTTGTAAGGAGAAAATTGCAGCCAATTCAAAATCATCACTTTAGACCTGGGAAGTAACATATGCAAGCAAAAGAAATAGGATTCAAAACCTGAAGGCAAACATCCTAAGCAGTAGTTCTTAAAAAGATTGTTTGGGAAGCAGTATCAGAGACAACTGCCAATCAAAACAACACAGCAGCTCATACCCTTATGCATACCACTGGATGGAAGTAGTCTGGGAGATGTAGTGAAATCATGAAAACAATTTGCAAGAGATACAAGAATTTCACACTGTACACATAGCAGCTTTTAATAGCCAAGAACCTGCTGCAAGCAAACTGTTCTGCGTTAGGTGTGTCCACTGAGCCCTCCCCTCTCCCAGAACCACCAGCTTTTTGAAAAAGGACTTTAACTCGATGTATGACTTAAATGGCTCGTGTATCAAGTTTGGGTTGTGTCTACTTTTGCAGGAAGAATAAGTAATGACACAGTGTTGTGCAATTAATAGCTTAAATGTTAATTGTCTAATAGGGTGAATTGTTATGTATTACAGATGCTTTATTGTAATATCAATAAATAACATATTTTCCTTTAAAAAATATTTTAAAAATAATGTTTAAAATGTCTCCTTCACTGGACTGATTCTGCAGTACAGGTTTGGGGGATTTGGTGGTTCACTGTCTTTACCTGACTTGGAACACTGCTAAGACAGCAGGGTTGGACTTGCTGAGCAGATTCCTGGTTTTAGATTAACAAATGTTCTCATATAAGTAAACAAGATAAAATCCCATGTGTTTGTCTCAAAATTTCAGTATTTTCAGAAAAAAATAATCGGAACTGTATTTATTAATTTAGCAGCACAGATACTGTAAAGCTGTGAACTGGAACAAACTCAGGGGCAATGTACTTGTCCTTTTGCATCTAATTCTGAAGGTAAAATTTAAGCAGGAGTCCCCAAGCAAATTAATGATATATGTCATATAGCTTAAAAAAATGTATTCTGATTTTTTTCATAGCATTTATTTCTCTCAACGTAATGGAGTTCCTTTATCTATTTGTACTCAGTCTGGGTAGGTTCCTTCCAACTGAACTCTTCTACAGTGCTACTCTTTAACAGTACCTAAAGAAGAGTAACAAGCATAGCAGTGTTGTCATTACTGGGTCAGACCAGGATTCAGAGCATAGCCTTGCAGAGAAAAGGCTGTGCACGCAGCTTGGCTGCAATGGCACGTCCCAAGCTCAGCCCCAGGGGCTCAGCAGGCTGTCTGATGGCATGTGGCAGGGATGTATGAGTCCTACATAAAGTGTAATTTCCATCAGGATCTCTGGGCCTATAGATAGCAGTCAGCCTGAAATTGTCTGAATGATGGAACATCCTGTCTTTCCAGTTGTTTCTCTGCAGTGTTCTCTGTAACTGTGCCTGGTTTCTTTTTCTAGCTGAGCTGTGTACCAAGGTGCTTCAGTCCAGAGCTCAGAGAGCCACAAGATCCAGCAAGAAGCTGAAAGGCATTCCAGTTTGGATGGAAGGAAGTTTCCTTACCTAGGAGTAACCTGGATGGCTTTC